AATTAAATAAAACCTAATTGCCCCCCACCTCCAAAAGAGACAAAAAAATCAAAATAAAAAAACAATGAAGAGCATTATTAACAAGCATTTTAAAAGTTTAGTAAAACTCTGTCACTCCAGTGTTTTCAGGAGAATATGTGATACCATCCCCATGATGGTTACTAAAAAAGCCACAGGAGTCCAGGTTCACTTACCGGGGTTGCCTCTTCCTGTCATCTGACCTTCTTCCCCATCAGGATACAGGGAGGACAGGGCGATGGTGTGAGGGGCACTGGGCTTCAGCTTCTGCAGGGCCATAATGTTCTGTCGTAAGCCTATCCTGGTCTGGAATAAAACAGGGATAAGTGTTAGCTTTGCCCTCTCAACTCACTCATCTGTTAGAAAAAGCTCCTTCTATGTTTGAGACCTTTGTCAAGATCTGGAAACACACCCCACCATGAAAGTTTAAAATATATCTTAGGGTATCATTTTAAATGTAAACTATGCCCCTTAAATCATAAAAAGGATTTTAAGCCTTAAACTGATGATCTTAGAAAGATATTTAAACTGGCAAGCAGCCAGCACTGCAAAATTTCATCCAAAACATGTTTCACAGTTCTCTTCTCCAAAAAGGCATTAGTCCTAAGTGAGCTGCAAAGGACCTTGAAAAGACAGCAAAGATCTGCATAATAGTAGAGGCCATTCAGTATTATTCTCACCTTTTTATAGATGGTTTTTATTTCCTTTAGAAACACATTAAAATAATTCAGCAAAAGACCTAAAGCCTTTTGGTTTCCTGCCTCGTAGCTGCTCCCTGACCAGCATTAGCTGTGTAGACTATATGACAGGAGCCCTGCCAGGCCACACTCAGGCAGGGATTCCCAGTCCTCTCCCTGACTCCAGCCTGCTGGAATGAAGCATTTTCAATATTGTCCGATTACGGAGTTTGAGGGTTTTTGTTTTTGTTTTTCTTTAGTTCACTGCTTAAAAGCCATCTAGCTATCCTGTTGGAAAAAAATCTGGATGCTTTACTAACAGTCTACTGAATTCAGTTGTTTATGCCATACTAATTAAAATCACTTATAAAAAGGCAGAATACCCACAGTGGGTGCACATGCGGAGGGCTGGATGCACTAACACAGTCCAGATGTTTCCCACTGACCACCGTCCACTCAAACAGGCTGAGTTTCAGAGATAACCTCAGTGGATCACTGACTGCACTCATCCTCACAACAAGCGAGTTGAGCTACAGTGGCTAATTTGGACAAATTTAATAAATTTGGGACTTTGAGATTTGCAAATGTTAAAAATAGATTAAAAAACGAATTTTTTCTGTAGAGCACAGGAGACTATATTCAATACCTTGTAGTAACCTTTAATGGAAAAGAATATGAAAATCAACATATGTATATATATTGCATGACTGGGACATGCTGTACACCAGACACTTACACACTATAACTGACTATACTTCAATTAAAAAAAAAGTAACTCGAAAAAAATTAGTGTTTGAGACTATGAGAGCAAAGCTTTGACATATCTGTTACTTAACAAATCTGAGTGTCCACTTAGTAGAACTAGCCTCATGAGGAAGCAGAAGGGTGTGTACCTACTTCTCCCATCCAACTCTCCAAAATCATTCCAGCACCAAGGAATTGTCACTTTATTTCTTGGAGTAGCATTAAAATGCTAATATGCCAAAGAATAACAAATCTTAAGGGAGTATCAGTTAACATGCTACACGGGATAAGTTTATGAAATGCCTTCTAATTATGATAAACAGCTGAAAGACAGTAAGACAGACTCAAGGCAGCAGTTGGAGGGTCAGTATCACCAGTAACAGAAATGCTAAGCTTTGCCTAAATCTGGCCTGACAGAGGCAAAAGTCGTGTTTCTGCCATTAAAACATCAATCCATCAAATGTGTCTTCTTTTATATAAAAGCCAGCTGAACACTGTTGGTCATTAGTTTATTACTGATAACCAGTAAGACAGATTCTCAATCCAAGTATATCATACTACCTAAGTCTAGTTCTACGGAAACCACAACAGGGCAACTCACAAATCACAATGGGGATAGGAGGGTCTCTGATTCAGCTAAACCCACTTACTGTGCAGTACAGAGACCTGTAACCACTGCCAGCATCGACCTCTGCTACACCTCCAACATGGTAACAGGTATGACCCATTTGCTGGAGCTCAGCAAGTCAGATGATCAAAAGTGAATAACTCACCTCTCTCTCTAAGGCTAACTGAGGAAATATGACAGCCTCCAAAACATCAACAAAATGCTAGCCCTCATCAAAAGAGGTATTTGGAATAAATCAGAAAGCATCACCTATCTGTGTAAAAATCCTGGTGCTTCCTGGCCCCAGGGTAACAGGTGCGGTTCTAGTCACATGTTTCCTAAAGGCAAAGCTGGAGAAGGTTCAAGGACAGACAACTAAAGCAAGCAAGGTAAAGTGGACAAGGGCTCTGTTAAATAGGGAAGGCTGGGAAGATAAAGAAGATGAGCTTCCAAAAGTGGGATAAACATGACAAAGAGAAGATTTGGGAGTCAAGGAAATGCATTACCAAGTCCGACAATAAAACACTGACCACCAGGTTCTGCCTATTCTGGCTTCCTGGGAAAACACTGAATATTCCGCAAAGTACACCCTAAACCTAGAACAGAGGAAAACTATCAGAGGGACAGTGCTCAGAGGCAGCACCCAAGAATGGCATGTACATGCCCAGTCACAATCCAAGTGGTCTCCGGGGACACCCCTGCACTTGAGCAACACAGAACCTGATCTCACCCGCCTATGTGGCATTTCTCCTAACAGTATGAGACACACTGGAGGACGACCTGAGACGTGGTGACTCTGGCCCTCCCCCCAGGCTGCACTCCAGTCTTCTCCTGGGGCAAGGCCAGATATGAGTTATCCCCTGGGGCCACAGAACAAGACGGTAGGTCTGCCTGGCCCAGCGCCACCCCTACCCAGGTGCCCTGCATACCTCAGGGTAGAAGAGAGCAGCCTGTGGACGCTCAACCTCACAGAGCAAGGCTGGGATGGAGTGCAGAGAGGCTCCCACAGAGCCTGCCATGGGGCTCTGACTTTTCCTCAGGATGGAGGTTGATCCAGGTCCTTCTGGTGGATTCTGTGGATTCCATGGTGTTAGCATTAGCCAGAGATTCTGGGAGTTATGAGCAGACAACCCTATGGACAGACATGTGCATCCATCGGATGATGATCCTGTGATTGATGAATCAAAGGGGGACTCACAACACAGGGTTCAGTGGGTCCTCAGAAGGTGCTTCTCTATCCTATTCACTTTACAGTATTTTTGAAATCTTTACCAGATGGATGATGCATAAAGTTTCCTTTAAGACTTTAAATTACACAAGTGTTACATGCCCTAGGCAATTTACAAATCCAGAACAGCCACATACAAGACACTGTTGGTAAATAACCAGTCACCCCGTCCTGACTTCTAAGAGGAGTGGGCTTGGTCCCCAGGGGCCAAGGCACCAGGCGCAGCTCAGACCAAAGGTGCCTTAAGATTAATCTAA